GTAGAAGCAACCTCAGAGGACTGTGGATTTTGTAATTTTAGTGTTTTCTAAGAAGCAGTATATTTTTAACTTGGCTGACTCTCTCTCTGTCTCTCCTCTTGGAGGGGATAGGGTCAGAGGGTCTCACTATGTAGCCTTAGCTTCTCTCAAACTTGTGATCTTCAGGTCTCAGTCTCCCAGGTATGGAGGTATGGACACACCATGGCTGACACTAGCTTTTTAAGTTTTATATTTACTTCATTTTCATTTTTTTTAGCTTTCCTCTCTTTCCAATATAAACAATTCTGGCAATAGACATCCTCCTTAGAGCCACAGAATGTGTTTTTTACTTATTATATAGTATTTTATTTAATTCAATGAGTAGTTTTTCTAGTTCTACCCATTCGGTCTAATAATTAATTCAAGGAATGAGATAATGATTTTCATGAGTTTGTTTTTGGTCTTGGGGCTGTGTGATTTGGTATATAAATTTCAAATTATTGTATCTTCCAGATGTACTGACTCCTCTTGTTCTTGATAACAACATCTAGCTGCAAACAAACTGTTTTTTTTTTATGTGAATAGAACCCTCCCCACCTCACTTTGGCTGGCATTTGTTTGGTGACTCCTTTGTTGCTTTATACTTTTGGTATGTTTGTATGTTAGATGAATCCACTACACAGAAGCTGTAGCTATGAGAATTTCTTTGTAAATCCATAGAAAACACTGTTGTAACCCAGTATATTAAGTTGTAATTACTGAAAGGCTTGAAATTTCATGTCACCATGTTGCTATTTCTCTTCTCCTCCCTTCTTGGTTATTGTGTTTTTATTTATTTGTTTATTTTGTTTTCTCCTGTGCTGAGAATAAAATCCAAAGCTTTGCTCCTGCACTGTGCTGCATCCCTGGCTACAGTTTGCCCTTTCAAATGCTTTCTCTCATTTCCATTTGATTCCTTAGCAGTTGATGATGTTTCGAAGAATGTGTGGTTTGCTTCTGCCAGTTTTTGGACGGAAGGATCTTTGGTTATTTTTAAGTCTTTCATATCACTATATTCTTGGAATTTATCATGGCATAGAGATAGGCTATGAACAACATTAGCACAACTTTTTAAAAACCAAAATGTAATCCTTTGGTGAATATTATTAGTTTACTACTCTGGTGTGTGTGTGTGTGTGTGTGTGTGTGTGTGTGTGTGTGTGTGTTAGTGCAAGTCCCCGTGTGCATGCACACGTGTATGAATTCATGTATGACAGTGAACTCATCTCAGTAGGTTTTAATTGACAAACAATTATTGCATGTATTTGGGAGTACAGTGGGATATTATGATATCCATACATAGTTTAATGGACACATCTGTCGTCTTATATACTATTTTCTGTGAGGGCTCTGAAAAATTTTTAAAAAGATTTGTGTGTGTGTGTGTGTGTGTGTGTGTGTGTGTGTGTGTTTGCCTATGAGGGTGCCTGTGTGCCTGTGTGCTTGTGTGGGTTTAAGTGTGTCATGTGCTTACAGGAGCACACAAAGATCAGAAGACATCAAACTCCCTGAAACTAGAGCTACAAGTGATTGTAAGCATCTGCTGTGAGTGCTGGGAACAGAACCCAGGTCTTCTGCAAGAGTAACAAGCTCTTTTAACTGCTGAGCCATCTCTCTATCCCCTCTTTGCATATTTTTAAAAATACAATACATTGCAAACAAGTCCACTTTCCATGTTGTAGAACAGACCATTAAAAGTGACTCCCTAACTGAACTTTGAACATCTGCGCGCTTCCCCATGTGCCCCATTTATCTAGTAAACATTCAGATTTCCTACGATTTTGAAGCCATTTGTTAACATTGGCCTGCAAAGACATTTTATGTGGGTTCTAGGGACTGTCTGTAATCTTACAGGAGACTTTATGATTTCTTTGATTATAGCTTTTGTATCATTGTGTGAGTCAACTTCTGTCATATAACAAGTACTTGAGATAACACATGAAGAGAAAAACAAAACAAAACAAAACAAGAAGCACTGGTTTGAGGTCTTAGAGGCTTCCATCCATGACTGGCTGGCTCCCTTGCTTGGGTCTTTGGTAGTATCTTAAGATGAGAGCTGGGAAGAGACAGAGAGGAAAAGGAAGGAAGAGAAAAGGATAGAGGGGAGGAGGGGAGGAAAAGGAGGAGAGAAGAGGGGAGAGAATGGATCTAGTCCTCAAGACACCCTTCCAGGAATTTAAAACCTCCAGCTCTGTTTCATCTCTTCAAGTTTCCACCACCTGTCAACAGCTCAGGGGCAAAACTTGTAACTTGTGGGCTCCAGGAAGGCCTGCAGCCCTGACCTATAGCGACCATAGGCTCTGTTTTAGATTTATGCATCATCATGTGCTTTATGAGCTCCTGTGCTTTCGATTCTACTCCAGGCACGACTTAGGCTTCCAAAGGCCGGTGGGTCTCCTGTCCATTCCAGCTCTATGGACTTTGGCAGGTGTTCAAAACTCCCAGCTTCATACTGGAGCATCAGCTTTAGCTCCATGACTGCCATGGTTCATGGAACCTCTTTGCCATGAACAAATGGATCCATCCTCTGGATCTCCAGCACAGAAACTGAGTTTCTTTGGTCTGCTGTTCCATTCTCTCTTTCAGCATTTGGTCTTTATTTCTTGCTATTTCTAGCCTCCAAGGATCACTTATTGGTTCTTGATTAAATTTAATTTGTTATTTTTAGGTTGTTATTTTGAGAATCACATATGAATTTATTTGACCAGCTTATAAGACACTTCAATAATTAAAAAAATACTTTACTTTTAATGAAAAGAATCAGGAATTATTTAGACCTTTAGAATGACATAACAAGACATATAGCTGTTGACTCCAAACTAGTATGGACATTTTCTTTCTTCTAATAGTACGACCTAGAAATGAGAGGTTAGGGTAATCTGCACTGTGTCTGTTGGGGGAAATTCATTAATGAAGTTACTAAACCATTGGATTTGCTTTCAGAAGCCCACAAATTGGTGTGCTTTGACCTTTTGTTCAAGTTAGAAAAATAAGTCTGTTTTACAAAGAAACTGAAAGATTCTGACATCCTCATTGCCATCTCAGAGCGTTAAATAAAAACCACTCAGCCATAGCTCATCCCCCTCCACTTTCTTCTTCAAAATCCTGATTTGTTGTCCATGCTGCCTCTTATCCCTCCCTCCACGCGCATTCACATGCTTCTTCCACAAGTGACATTGTCAGTTGAGGCTGAGAATACTACTACACATCGAAGACTATTTCTGTGTCATTACAAGGTCAGAAACATCTCATTACTAAACAGCTCAGAATGACATCCCAAGTGCCTCACAATAAAAAAAAAATAAAAATAAAAACCATATTCTAAGATGCCCCCAAAGCCATTTTGTATTATGGGAAGCTACTACTTCTGCTTAGGAATTCACAAAGTCTGGTGATGTCTCTTCAAAGTTGTCTCCTGAGAACTCAGAGTTTTCCTCAATCTAAAATATACCCATTGTTATTCTGTCATGTGACTCTGGAATGTACTGATCTATCTACATTGCCATATAGTAATTCTGTAGAAATATCACTTTAATAATTCTTTTCCTATTATCTTGCACATGAAGTGAAGTGTCTGATAGTTTTTATTTGAGCCTATATATTGTATGTCTTTAAGCACTGGTACTTCTCTGTTTCTTATGGTAGCTCTAGATGGAGGTTAGAGTATCTTGTTCCTTAGGCTCTGCTAGAAAGGACTGAATTCAGGAGCAAGTCTTCCTCAGTATTGAGAAAAGACCTTCCTTAACACTTCAACCAACCCCACAGAAATATGGAGTTTTCTACACTGGGCATGGAGAACACTTAGTGTCATAGTCTGGAGACTTCTCAGTAGTAAATGCAAAAAAAAAAAAAAAAAAATAGGTCTTATCTCATTTTTTTTTTTTGCTCGATGAGTGAATGGATATTTATTTTGATAAAACTCAAGTGATTTGCATTAATCTAAATGATAGGTGCAAAAAAGCCACTGCAGCTGGGCGGTAGCACACACCTTTAATCCCAGACAGGTGGATCTCTGAGTTCAAGGCCAGCCTGGTCTACAGAACGAGTTCCAGTACAGCCAGCACTACACAAAGAAACCCTGTCTCAAAAAAACAAAATAAAACAGTTGGGCCCAGGTTTAACTTCCAGCACCTACATGGCAGCTCACACCTGTCTATAACTCCAGTTCCAGGGCTTCTGACATCCTCACACAGATATGCATGCAGGCAAAACACCAAAGAAAATAAAATAAAAAATAAATTATTAAAAAAATAGAGTTATTTGAATTTATAACACTTTAAAGAAAAATTTGGTATACCATCAAATTTAAACTAATAAAATATAAATATATTTTCTAAAATATTTACATATTTAAGGATGTTAATATATTTTATAACTTCCACTGTTTACTATCCATTTCTTGCAAAAAATAGTATCTATGAAGCTTAGTGAAGTCACTAATGGAGTTTGAAGAAACAATATTTTCCTGTTATTAAAGTCAGAATTTGTTTGGTAGCAGAAATCTTACAATTATTCAAGTTTTAGACATGAAATTTTATAAGGAAGAGAAAAATGGTTTGGCAAGGAGAGGGCAGCCCTTTGAAGAACTGCTGAGTAAAAGCATTGAGATCAGAGGCCTGGGGGGATGACTCAGCCAGCCACGTGCTTGCCAGGTCAGCATGAAGACCTGAGTTTGATCCCCAGCACAAATGTGGAAAGAGCCAGGTGCCCAGGCAGGTGCCCGAGGAAGTGAAGACTGGAGGTTCCCTGAAGTTCACCAGCCAGCCAGCCTAGCCAAAGTCCCGGCTTCCATGAGAGACCACACTGCAGGAAGAAGCTAGGGAACAGTTGGGGAAGGCTCTTCATGTCAATCTCCAGTACTCACATGCAAACACACTCACATGCACACATACGAACAGGTAGGCCCACGCTTCAACACACACAAAATAACTGAGGCAGGATAAGAACTGGGGGTTCTTGTATTTTTTGAGAAATCCTTAAGGCATGGGGTTTTCTGTTAGACAATCGCTCTGTTCCTCCACAATGTGCAGCTTTGTTTCCAGGTTCCGGGCAGGGAAAAGAACTCACAACTTGGAAGCAGATGATACAGCAGAAGCTGCCAGAGGCTGCAGATGTGCCTTTCGGAGTTCAGCCAGGTCTGAGGTGGGGTCACCTCCCAGCAGGCTGGGTGCATTCCCAACCCATGAGGGGTGGCCAGGTGATGGAAGTCACCTCAGGTCAAGTAGAGTGCACACCACAAGGCATGCTGCTGGCTCCCTGTTAAAACACGCTTCGTAGAAAACCCACCAAAAATAAAATGTCATCACCCAAATCCCTGACACAGCTAAATGGGAAAATGACCTTTAACGTTCTCTGTAAGTGTGCTTGGCAAAGGATATACAGATAAAGTAATTTAAAGTATAAAAATGAAGAGTTACCTTACTAATGTTTCTAAGTAGATTATTTTATTTAAATTCCACGTGTGTGTGTGTGTGTGTGTGTGTGTGTGTGTGTGTGTGTGTGTGTGTGTGTGTACACATTCCTGGGAGTTGTGGCACACGCCTTTAATGGCAGAGGATCTCTATGAGTTCAAGGCCAGACTAGTCTATATTGTAATAGTCTATATAGTAAGTTTTAGGTCAGCCAAGGCTGCTTAATGATACCTTGCTTAAAAAAAAAAAGCCAAGGACAACTAAAGTTCCTTGTGTATCACTGGTAACAGATTTAAGCTCACATATAATATTCCAACTACACACTACTTAAATAAATATTCACCCAGTAATCCTGCCTGAATGGTTTTGCTGCCACATTTCTTTTGCCTTTATTTTATAATCTTTATTGAATTTAACACCAGATATAACTTTTGGAAGGGGAAAGGGTGCCATCTTAGTGGGGCTGAAAACATTCAACTTATGATCAAAGGATGTAGGGCTCTAACTATCTAAATTGCAAATTGATCTATGTTCACAGAGAATTCCTAAGATATGCAGGTCAAAATTTTTCCACTTCTTGGATTAACACATTATATTTTACTTAAAAAAAGAACATAAAGAAATAAAGAAAATAGTGAGGGATTGAAAGATGGGAAGATGGAGAGAGGGGAAAGGCTGGAGATGGGGGAGGGAGAGAGGGAGAAAGCAAATCAGATATACAATTTTCATTCAAATGCTATGTAAAATTATAACATTATACATTTCTTAAATAGATTGTAAACTAAATAAACCTCTCACGATATTTAATTTTGGAAAGTAACACATCCAGACTACCCTCTACGTAGAAAAGTAATTCTTTTCTTTAAGCTGAAAGTCATTTTGATTTCAAATATTAACTATAGGCAGAAGTCCTTGAAAGTCTAACTGGTTTTGATTTGCTCCACTTTTGAACATGACATGAACTACGGTTCAAATCTCCAGCTGTTGTAGATGCAGTTAAGGTGTAACTGAATATATTTTAATGTATGAATTTAAATGTATCCCTATTGCCTTTCATCATGATTTGCATTTCTTTCCAGCAGACAATAAATTAAATATGTATTTAAAGGTTATGCCTTTCTTAGTAGATTGATCAAAAGGGAAGGTGAACAAGTCAATCTCTTCAACCAATTTGACTACCTTCCATATTCAGTGATGGTGAGCAGATCAATCCATCAGGGGTACTGTTCTCTGGCCACATAACCTGCTGGAGGAAGGAAGAAGGACCTTATGAGTAACAAGCCAACAATATCTTAGCCTATCCCCTGGTCCTTGGCCTGGAACTTTTATGCCCATGACAGTTTATGCCACACTTCTCTTACTCCAGCTGTACTGACGACTGTCTCTATCAGAGACCAATTCAACCTCTCCCCACTCTTGACCTGACTAATGCTACCTCCTCCTTAGGTCAGATACCACCTTCTTACAGAACTCTCAACACACACACACACACATACATGCACACCCTTACACACTCACTCACTCACTCACTCACTCACTCACTCACTCACTCACTCACACGTACTCATACACACAGACACACTCACAAACTTACACATACACACACACAACTGTGTTTAACTTCTAAGCTCTCCCTCATGGTGATATTGACCACTTCTTTAACCTCATAGGATTTGTAATTCTTGTTAGATGTCTGTTTTTGTCTTTAAAAACCTTTTTGTATTTAAATTACCATTAAATACACAACAGATATTGGTGATACTAAGGTAGGTAGGAAATAATGTTTCTTATTCACAGTTGAAGTTGTAGCTAAGAATCCTGGTGACTGTGGTGTGAATGCAGATAAAGGAAAGGAATGTATCCAGGGCTGTGAAGCAACTCTTTTAGCGGGGTTGGAGGCATACCCACATGCTCTGGTCTGGTTAGTCTATGCTGTGCCTCAAAGTCCCTTAAGTTCAGGAGCACATTTTCTGCCCTACTCTTTGTCATTCTGAACCCGTTGAAAATTTAGCTCATGGTGGTTCACTGCGGGTCTCTAGAGAGGAACTGAACCAATTAGCTCAGCTAAGGAGAGAACACATTTTCCCAGGTAACAAGGGGTGAGCTGTGCTCAGTCGAATGTCCTCAGCTAGTTCCCTGCTCTGTGAAAGGCAAACAAGATGCTTTCTGTAGCATAGCCTATAGCATTCTGTTCCACTAACTTCCGGTGGCTGTGCCATATGTCTGTGTCTAGGGATAAATCTACTTTCTGGCCAAGGTGGTCTTACCATGCCCTTTAGCTCTACTAAGCTTCCTGGGGGCACTGACTCTGGCAAACCTATAATTGTAAATTATTTTGTCACCCCTTTGAGATGGAAATCTCCCAACTGCTTGCCAGTTTTTATAACCTTAGTATATCTTTCTTATTGGGTCTGGGAGCCATCCCTTTGAAATGTATGCTGAGCTTTGCCTCCCAGTTTCTGTGGGAAGTTATGAGGCTAATTTATATAAGTGACAATAAACAAACCTGGATGGCCTGGTCACCCAGACCAACCTCTCTACATTGTCCTGTAGTATTTTTCCAATATTTTCCTGGGCAGTTAAAAACATGGTTTCTTTTAGTTCAGTACAGCCAAGTTCAGTGTTTTTTCACATATCATAATAATTTTGAATAAAGCAAGCCTTTTTGTGTGCTCAGCTCTTGATACCTCTCAGGTCATATGTATACTTGAATTTAATTGATACTACATCCCTCATGGAAGATGTGAATGCTTGAGAAGGTGAGCACATTTTAAAAACTCAACCCTCTAGATAAAATATCAGTGACATTCACTTAGTGAGTAGGAGGATTCTTTTATATTTGGGAGTGAGGTGGTTTTCCATAAATGTTATTATTTTGGGGTAGCACTGGGAAAATACTCTGACCACTTCTATGGAAGCCAAATGAGAAAAGGAGCAAACACTGCTAAATTAATCTGTTACTTCATAACATACAACTCTTAAAATGGTTTGAGTATAATGTTGAAACTACATTTGTTGGGAGCAGAGCAAGAAAGTCCTTGCACTCACAGATCTCCAGGGAGACCAGGAACGTTAAGAACACAGGACTGTCTTTCTAATGGGGAAGATGTACCTGTTCTTCCATGCAGAAAGCTTAAAATTCAAGGTGATTAATAACCCCATGATCTGTTTTATCTGTTGAGTCAAGCCATATCAAGCTCCTACAACCAAGACTAGAAGTAGCTGGTAATCTAAATGATCCTTATAACCAAGGGTTCCACCAAGTTCCCACAATCAGGATCAGAGATGCTTAATAATCTAAATAACCCTTACATTATCTGTAAAGCCAGAGGTCCTACCACAAGCCCCCATTGCCACAAGTGGAGGTAGCTAATAGCCCCAATGACCTCTACTCTATCTGTATGGCCAAAGCCAGGCCAGACCCTGCCTTTGGCCATTAAGCTAGTACAGGTAGTCTATCTCTAGAACCTATCTTCTTAGAAGAAATGACATGTACTTGAGTTAAGTTTCTATGTAAGTACACTTCCTTGTGCACCAGGGATTGTTTTACACCAGGAAACTGTTTTCCAAATTTTACTGTCTAAATTTGTTGGCAGTAAACCACCTGGCACCAGACTCCCTGAAGTCTTGATCCTGGTTGACAAAGTCAATCTGAACCGAGTTTTCATTCTCACCTCCTCACAGTCCCGTTCACTGTCATGCCCACCTGCAGGGTTCCCCTCACATGTTGAGTGCTTTTAATGAAGAATCTGAGCACCTGGGCTTTACTGTCTCCAATGTGGACAGTAATTACAGAGTGATTTTATTGTTTAGCATTGTGAGAACTAGACACGGGAACCTGATTGCCTGGACCCAGAAAAACTTCAGGTAATTTCTGAAAATGTTTCATCTCTGTTCTGTGAAAGTGATTGACAGAATCTTTTGACTAAGGGAGGCTCAGTGAACTTTGGCTGTCATCACTGACACTATCATCATTGTTATCATCACTTTCCCCATGCAAAGACACAAGTAGGAACTTTAATTTCCACAACTTTCTCCTTTCTAGTAAAGGGGAACCACGGGAGGGTAGTGACGGTGGCTCAAAGTAGGCTTTAACTTCTCTGGATTGCTTTGTTTGTCGACATTTCTGAGCTCATTTGTGAGACATTGTCTTCTTCTCTCCTCACCCCAATCCCTAAATGCTTTTAGTGATGGATGGGCAGACAGAGACGAAGTCATTGAAGGCTATGAGGTGGAAGCCAACGGAGGAATCACGATCAAGCTGCAGTCTCCAGAGGTCAGGTCCTTTGATGACTACTTCCTGAAGCTGAGGCTAGATACCAACACAAGGAATCCCTGGTTCCCTGAGTTCTGGCAACATCGCTTCCAGTGTCGTCTACCTGGACACCTTCTGGAAAACCCCAACTTTAAAAAAATCTGCACAGGTAACTGTTGACAAGGGAGCAGCTCAGTGTGGGTCACCTTCTCTAGTTCCATTGCAGGCTGTGAATATGAATAATTCACACCAAGGCTGGAGATTCAAAGTGGGAAATAATGAAAGCTTAGCTTATAAAATAGCTTAAATAAAGTAAATGTATATAGTCCCCTCCACCCATGGATTTGTGTTCCTGTATGTTAAGAAGACTAGTCTCTGATGGGGCTAGTGACAAAAAGAGACAAGACAAGTAGAAGACAAGAAAACAGAGCAGTCAGGCATCCAGTATTTGAACTAGGAGGAAAAGGTGCTTTTGCACACTTAGGTGATGGTAGCCACAGATACATATAAGCAATGTTGATTTGGTCCTTTCCTTTGTGACTACTTTAATGTACAGATTAGCAGAGGAACAGGTTGCATCATCCTAGTCCACACAGCCAACATGATGTCTGTGGATACAGGTGCCGAGAAAGAGCAGTCTTACCTGTGCACCAGATGGTGGCTTCCGGTGGACAGCTGCTGCTGGTATCCTGTTCGCTTAGGCCAGTAGGAAGGGTAGCATGTCTTTCCAAGGCGTCCAGGGGCTTGGTGGACCCCACAGATGGTATAATTACTAGGGGCCTAGGCTATGGCAATGATAGGAAGATGGAGACTGAGATTTACTTCTGAGTTGATCCTGAATGAGATCCTGAATGAGCTAAATCAATTGACCAACACACTATCAAGTATGACTCTGCTTTGAGGAGGTGGTAGATGTCCCTGACCAAGACCTACAAAACTGACTGAAAGCTGACACCTTTGGGTCATGCAATAAAGTGAATTGACTTGTAGCTGTCCTCTTTGGTCAGAAAATTCAACAAGTTGCTCCAAACGCTAACTTGTGAATACTTTAAAAATAACCAGGAAGATAATCAAATGGAATCAGTAAAACAGAACATAGTATAGAACAGTGCTGGTCACTAGAACTTTCTGTAGTAATGAAAATCTGGCTTTCTGCTGTCCACTAAGGTGGCCTCCAGCCACATGTGGCTGCTGACACATACATATGGCTTGTGAGGTTGAGGAGCCAAAATTTAATTTCATTTATCTATAGTTATTTAAATTGAAACATGATTAGGGCACATACAGCTGCTGCATTTGACAATGCTGATTAATAGTGTCATGAAGGAACCTATCACGATGGCTCAGGCATCTAATTCCAGCATTCAGGAAGCTGAGGCAGGAGGATTGAGGGTTTGAAGGCATCCTAGGTTATGTAATGAGACCTAGTTTTAAAAATAAGACAAGTCACCAGACATGTCATGGGGCGCACTTTTAATCCCAGCACCTGAGAGGCAGAGGCAGGTAAGAGGTCAGCCTGGTCTACAAAGTGAGTTCCAGGACAACCAGGGCTACACAGTGAAGCCCTGTCTAGAAAAACAAAAACCAACCAAACAAAATCCAACAAATAGGGGCTTGGACAGGTCACTCAGCAGTTAAGAAAGACACTTGCTCTGCAGCTGGAGGGCTTCTCTCCAGGTCCCACCAAGCCCCCGCAGTCCCACAACCCATGTATAAAATAAACACACAGACGCTTATATTATTTAAACTGTTTTGGCCTAATGGCTTAGGCTTCTTGCTAACTGTTCTTATATCTTAAATCAACCCATTTCTTTAAATCTATATCTTGCCACATGGCTCGTGGCTTACCAGCATCTTCACATACTGCTTGTCATGGCGGTGGCTGGCAGTGTCTCCCTGACTCAGCCTTCCACTTCCCAGAATTCTCCTCTCTCCTTGTCCCGTCTACTTCCTGCCTGGCCACTGGCCAATCAGTATTTTATTTATACAGAACAATATCCACAGCACTTGTTCTGCAACCATTATGACCAGTACATGTATGTGCATACACTCACACAGGCACACATCAATATGTATAAAAATAAGTCTTAGGGTGCTGGAGAGATGGCTCAGTAGTTAAGAGAGCATATTGCTCTTACAAAGGGCCCACATTTAACTCCATCTCTCTCTCTCTCTCTCTCTCTCTCTCACACACACACACACACACACACACACACACTTTTAAGACAACAAAATTGAATCTTAACAAATAAATTAATTCTTGAAACAGGACAAATTACCAGTGATAACAAAATAATGATGATAGAAAATAGACAGCTGGTGGATACTGTGAATATTGCATGAAATTATTGTCAGCATTTCATCTTCATGTGACAGTAACACTTAAGAAAATTACAGTATCTAGATACAACACATGGCTGGAGAATTTCATGATCCCAGTGTAGCTTTGATATGTATTTCCAAAAAGCAGCAGATCCCACAGATCACAGCACTGCACAGTTAATGTGACTGCAAATGCGGCTCATTCTCAGCATCATCTCTGTGTACACCAGAATTCCTGAGTTGTAGGGTAGCTTCCTGTGTGTAGCAGAATTCCTGTGTTCCTGAAGTGTAGATTCACTGCCTTAGCTAAAAATCCTCTTTATCTCAGGAACCATACAAATATTTGGCTTTGTTCTGTGAGATTTAGGTGTAATGTATCATTCCTCTCAGGAGGAAAAAAGAAAGAAAGAAAGAAAAAAAGGCACTGAACATTCCCTAGGCTGGGGAGTTCTGTTCCCGAATTGAATTAAACTATTGTTCTGTCAGGGTCATAGATAGCAAGGTTGTAGAGAATGTTCATTAGTTATCTACTGTCACAATACACCTTCAAAACAAGCCACCCCCAAGAGTTGGTGACTTAAATAACAATAATTTGTTTGTTTCATGAATCTAGGGGTCAGCTGGGAGGTTTTGCTACTCTGGGCTAGACATGGCTCATCTCCCAGGGTTGGAGTTGACTGGGGACTAGCTAATCTCAGAGACCTTCCACAGGGGGTTTCCTCCTTGTGATTCATGCTGTGTCTTTTCTGGAGGCAAGCTCAGATGATTTCACACCACAGGAACAGGGTTCTAAGAAGCAGAATGGGAGTATGTTAAGGCCCTGGAGGCTAGGTCTTGGAACTGATGAGTTTATGGTTAACTGAGATTTCAGAAGTAAAGAAAAATTGGGTATGGTGAGCCCTTCCTAGAAGTCTAGCCTGAGTTCTAAGCCGGTCTATTTCAAAAAGCAGATGCAGAGGATGGGTGAACATATGTAACATTTTCCTCAACCCTTATTGACAGTCAGTTTCTTGGTTGATCTTTGGGATTGATGTGAACTGCCATTGGGGCCAAACTTCCAAAGGGAAAAAGAAAAGTTATACCCTAGGATACAATGGATGAAAATAAATTGGGACCTATCTTGGCTTGTAGACCACATTAATGTGGATGGAACTGAATTGGGCTAGTCTTCTCTGATATCACTTGCAAGACAAATAAATCCAAAGTGGAAAGTCTACACAACTGGAAAACAAACGTCATAAAAAGAAGTACAGTCTAAAAACTAATGGCAGTCTCCAAGCTACTGTGGTACAACTCTGCTTGCCAAGATTCTTGGTATGCTGTCTTATCAGATACATTATTCTGTTTTTTGCTACTGTGACAAAAATACTACAAGGGATGCAAATTACCAATAAGGGAGGTTCAGTTTTTCACAGTTCTAGAGGCTGGAAGTCTACAAGTGAAAGGCTACATCATGCTGTGCATGGTGTAAGGAACAAGCAGGCTGGAAGGGAGAGAATGGAAACACCCTTAAAGCCTTTTCTTAACCTGCCTTTGCAACACAGGCAATAACCCCCAACATATGGTCTCTTGAAGATCTAGTTTTTAAAGGTTCAGTTTCTTAATACTGTCAATTCCAATTAAATAGCAACATGTATTTTGAGGAGACATCCACACTGTAGCATAGGATCAGCCAACAATATCACACAAGTCATGAACTGGTGAGCATTTTCACCAAATTATTTGATTGTATCTTGGACAACAGACACATATAAGTATACACTAAATTAAAAAGCATTGTTTCCATTTCCTTCCAATTGGTAGGAATGAGAATTAAAGGAGAAAAAAATAAAACTAAAGTTGTGACTATAAATGGAGTAGATTTGAAAAGAGGCTGAGGACACAGTGAGTTCAGCAAACTTATGCACTTAATTAATGCACTGCCCTACCACAAAATTATATACGTGTTTCTAAGAGAGCCCAAGCTACCATTCCTTTAGGGTAGTAATTACATGTTTAAGAATCTATTACAAAAGAACAATCTAAAAATAGTAACAGCAATAGCCAAGAAAACCCCTCTGTCTCATATTCATTGTTTTTTTAATAAGGAAAATTGGAAGCATCCTAAATGTCCAACAATAAGATAAGAATGGCTAAGTAATTATAGTGCTTTTATGGGAAAGAATATTATAGAGCTATTAAATGGGGACTATAAAGCCGAGTTGCAATATCAAAAGCATAGGAAGTGTAATCCTCCTGAATGTGAGATACTGAATTACACACACACTGTGAGTATCACAAAGCAATCAAAATGGAAAAACACTGAATATCTGTCTCATGCAGTGTTGGTAGGAGTTGACTTTTGGAACATTTTATTTTCAAAAGCTTGAGAGCTGCTCATATCTTCAGAGTGAACTTCTGGAAAATTAATTCCACTTCTGGAAACAAAACTAAAGAAAAATTTCTAAGATGGAAAAGAGTTAGTTGGAAAGATTTTCTTATTACTTCATTAAAGCATTTTGCTTAATGTGTTGATGGTCTAGAACCTCAATGTATAGGGAGGATGAGAAATGATTAAACTACATATTATCGATATACAAAATGTTACATAGCCATTGAAGTTTTAATGGTAAAAAGAAATTCATAAATTTAAGAGAAACAATATTTATGTTTAAAATGTTATAAATAATATAGCAAGTATATTGTAAGATGAATTGCTAAATGGTCTTATTAATAAAAAACCCAGAGCCAGATATTGAGGTTAAAACTGAGATCAGAAAAGCAGAAAGAAGCCAGCCACATTCTTACCACTTAGAGATCCTCATCCAAAGAGAGCTACTTCCTGTATACCCACACCTATATGCCTTTCTGTTCTGTTTCTTACTTCTTCTCTCCACCCAGCTACATCACTTCCTGTCTGTTTGTACAGACCTCCAGACCTCTATAATTAGCTAGTATTGAAATTTAAGGCGTGTGCCACCACACCTGGCTGTGTTCTCAATGTGGCCTTGAACTCACAGAGATCTGGATGGATCTCTACCTCCCAAACGCTAGGATTAAAGGTATGTGCTACCATTGCCTGACTTCTATATTTAATGCAGTGGCTGATTTTTCCTCTGAGAGTCAGATAAGCTTTATTGGGGTGCACAAATAAGGTATCACCACAGTATATGTGTAGCTAGAGTTTTCCTGCCTAAGAGAAGAAGCAATATTTACGTTTAAAATGTTATAAATAATATAGCAAGTATATTGTAAGATGAATTGCTAAATGGTCTTATTAATAAAAAACCCAGAGCCAGATATTGAGGTTAAAACTGAGATCAGAAAAGCAGAAAGAAGCCAGCTACATTCAGGACAAGTCTTTGTCACCCGCCAGTCCCACAGCCACTCAGACCCAACCAAGTAAACACAGAGACTTATATTGCTTACAAATTGTATGGCCGTGGCAGGCTTCTTGCTAACTGTTCTTATAGTTTAATTAATC